TGGCATAGAATTTCTACCCCCGCATCTCATGGGTACTCTTTACACCCAACCTGTGGCATTAGAATTTGGGGCCTAACTTTTTAACTCGTGTCATAATAGTGAATGTATATGAGAAGATAAACATCAGTCCATTTCAGGAGGGATTTCTACTTGATAAACTGCCAAACCGCTATCCAAATAACGATGAGGATTACAAAGTATTTTATATGGTCAATATCAGAAATCCAACCTTCGCTTTATTAGTTTGATCACAATTATGCAATATACAAGAGAAGCTAGTATAACGTGTGTTTGTGCTGTTAAGATTACTCCAAAAATTATTGATCTTATTTCCTGATGAGTTTTAAATGTCCTTTGCAACGATCAAAATCTTCTAAGGTCATATTTAACCACACCCAAATTATTGTTTAGTTTGTTTGTATATTTATTTTTGTTTTATTTATTTCGTCACAATACAGGTGACAATGGTGAAGCGAGACGGTCATTCTCAACGGATTTAATTCTCAGCCTTTTAGAAATCCCGACAAACTCCGCCAGGTGTTCAATGCTGGCCAATGGAATAGTCTATGACGTCATCGAACCAGTCATCAACATCGGCGACGAAATAATGATTACCGATGAACAGCTTTACCAGTACACGGGATTCCAAAGACCGAACCCCCTTGATTCGCTCTGCATCTTCGTAGAGAATGCTTTCACAAGTGAGCTTACCATCATGATTATCTATTTATTCACTTATTTATCAGGAGAGTGCATTTATCGTATCATTCAAAGAAAAAGAAAGGGCTACACATGCAGAGTTAAAGGGTCACTCTAACCAAAATGTGCTAAAAAATGGAGAGAAAAAGACATGTAGAATAAATTTTGACGGAGATTCCGAATATGACATTGATTTTCCTTAGAAATCATCAATAATTCTGGAATCCATTAAAAAAAATGACGACTCAAAACGCGCAGAAAAACAACCCAGTTTCAGTAATGACGCATTTGACGTCACTACAGGCGTCTTTCCGGTGAAAATGGGTGGTATTCCAGTAGCGCGTACTTTAATAGTTAGTTCACACTTTTATGGAGTGCCTGTTGCAAACTAATTTACCCCGTACAGATCATTTTAATCCTTCAATGAAAAGTGACCAAAAAATTAATTTTGCAATGAAATGGGAAGAAAAAGATAATATGAGTATGAACTAAATTTCAACAAAGTCTTTGGTAGATTATCTTTGTCATGAATATTGAAGGAGGAAGATGAAACCTAGCATTCCATAGAAGTGTGAACTAAAATTCTTGTTTAGTCTGGACTTAGTCCCGGCTTAACTTATGAGAATACCACCCATTGTCTTTAAAAAGCTAACTATGATGTTAATTGAAAACAAGACATTTATCCGAAACATAATATGCACTTGATAATCCCAGTACGTTTCTGGCAATTTCGTCATTCCTAATTATGAAATTATGAAATTATCAAATCGGACATGCCCGCAATGATGTCAAATGTGTCATCAAACCACGTGACCGTATTACCTTTTTTAGTGGGGCGTAGCCCAGCAAGCATGAAAACTGTGAAAATGGATGGCTGTCATCATTTTTTAGCCCTCTCTATGTCTGTCTTAAGGACCTCTCACTATGAACATGACTGACAATGAGAGCGGACAAAATATACAGTTCCTCAGGTAGACAAAGGAACATCCCTTACTGCTGTAAAAATGTGTAGAACAGGTGTCACATGCATATTCACCTTTTTACATAATAGCTGTGAAGGGATGTTCCTTTGTCTACCTGAGGAACTGTATATTTTGTCCGCTCTCATTGTCAGTCATGTTCATAGTGTCTAGTGGGTCTACGTAGCATGCAGGTTTGCGAATCCAGCTGCAAGGCCACCCAGCGAGAATTGCCTGGAGGAGCCAGAGCAGTGAGCATAAACAGTACACCGTGGAACTGCGATAACGATGAGCGTTTACGATGAGCGTTTCAAATCGGTCATTCTGCCTTCAAGATTGAGCTTAAACGCACCCTAAATCGTAGATCTGCCTCTTCCTAAATTAATAGACCGGTTTACTAACATATTCAAATCGAATGAATACTTTTTAAACAAATGTTGTTCTTGACAACTTGACAGCTTGCCCGAGGCTTGCCATACAAAGCAGCATCTAACGTATCCTGACTGGATTCCAAGTATTGTAGTTCATTCATAGATAAAAGGTTAATAAACAATTCGTCACTATTATATGTCCCCTAGGAAAGAAACATCCATAAATTTGAATATGTTAGTAAACCGATATATTGAGTTAGATTTATTTTCATGTGATAATTATTATTGTAATCTTTGCCAATGATCTATAGCCTGTGAATGTGGTACATTTTAAGTTAAGTTTTATCACGATTACAAATATTTTCGAAAAACAAATGTAGGCTCAAATTGAAATGCGCCAATTATAGTGACTAATTACGCAAACCAAACATGTTTCTAACGGCTCGTCCAGACAAGGCGCGGCAAAACTTTGGCTTAAAAAAAAAAGATTATGTTTACATAAGGTGCAATACGTTTCACATGTCTATATGTTATGACACAGAGCTCAGTTGCCCTTCATATACACGTAACCCCCCCCCCCCCCAAAAAAAAACAAAACAAAACAAAACAAAACAAAACAACAACAACAACAACAACAACAACAAAACAAAAACAAAACAACAACAACAACGTTAACAACAACAAAGCCCCATATCCGAATAAAAAGCCCTAAGGGTTTGTTTTGCTTGGTACGCGGCAATACACCGTTTTCCTCTTGTGGTCAAGTTTACTCATGCCTGCCCTAGGACAAGCTATGTAATCACCTGATAGCGAGCGGCCGCATCACAATGGTCGGAATGCGAATTGCATTCATTTGCGTTGCTAGCTGGGTTAAGCTTTTTAACTTGTCCCGGCTGGCAACAAGCACTGCGTACCTTCTATTGGGGTGCGATAGTTTGTTGTCAGGTGTGCGTATGGCATTTTTAATTAGCGTTTGATGATGGCGTGTGTATAAATTTTGGCCTCATAGGGAAAATCGTTTATTGACGTTTATAGTTGAGGATCGATTGTCGGATAGAGAATTAGACAACACAGTGGGCGGGTCTCTCGCGTGGGGTTTGGAATTACATGGTGTTATGCTGGGCGCGTCCGGGATCCGTGAATAAGGTAGCATATTTTGTACTTGTTCATTCACCTATTCAATTGCTTTGATTTCTTTCCCCGGACGCGCCAGGCGTTACATGTGCCTTCCACACGCTTTGCAAGAGAGTTCTTCTCCATTTCTCTTTCTCCCTTTCTCTCTCTCTCTCTCTCTCTATCTCTCTTTCTTGCAGTCGTTCCTCTTACTGATTCGCGCGTAGCGGGTTAATTATCCGCAAATCTCAGCAATTGTAAATGTATAGCCTTTTCTTGCTTTTAATTGTTTTGTTTCATTGGTTAACACGAAAGAGGACATGCAAGTGTTATGCTCAGCAGCTTGTGCATTATTTTTAAAATTTCTATTTACGTAATGTTTCTTTTAATTGTACCTGGACCCCCAGGAAGAACAGTGTCATATATTTTTATGACACTGAACGGGCAATCCAGCCAATCATTTTTAAGCAATCTATATACACATGTAATTTTTTTTTTTTTTAATTCTGTTATGTTTCATTTCGTTTTATGTCATATGTTATTTGTCTTTTTAATATGATTGGAAAATAAATACAATACAATACAATAAACAATAGGGTCTAGAACTTGCCATTGAGCTGATTTCTTGAAAATCCGAGCGATCGTTTTTGTTAATATTTATTGTTTCTCCTCCTTTCAAACCCCAGCTGTGGTGGATCTACCAGACCCAGTTCCATTCCGGTTCATCCCAGACACTAATCTGACTGTCGAGTTCTTTATCAACGCCGCAGGGGGAGTATGGATCCAGGAACGTACCATTGATTCTCTAGCCTTTGGATGCACTGAGATCCTGCCAGATTTTGAGTCCATGATACCCGATTTCCGCACGTTCTCTGCTTTTTATGAGCCAGTCTGCAGAGAGGTACTTGTAGCAGCCAACGACCTGGCAGTCTTCGACGCAGAGAGTTCCTGTACTGATTTAACAGCTGTTTTTACTGATTTGATATCCACGGACGACGGCAACAGGAAGCGGAGGCAAGCAGATATGGCGGAGGAAGATATGTTTGATTTCATCGGAATCCTAAGTAATACTACCAAAGACCTCTACGGCTTGAACATCTCCGACCAATCCACCGTATGTCCCAATATCAAGCAGTTTCTAGAACCATCATTACCCGAAGTGGCCACCAGATTTCTCACTGAGCTGACCAGCGCAGTGCTTCCTCAAGCAGCCCCCTACTTTTGTGAAGATTGGGAACAGTTCCTTTCAAGTGTCGGGATCTCCAAGACATCGCCCCACTATCCAATCATCTACGATTTGGCAGATATAGGATCTCAAATGCTTGGACATGACAGCAGGGATGCTATCTGCGAGGCCATTCAACAGGCTCTATCATATGGACGTAAGGCATTTAGGATCAATACGGACTTTACACTATCACCCCAATAGCATATTGATAATATTGGACCAGCCCCTTCCGACAGGGATCTTACACTCAGTATGGGAGTGGTTTTGTCTGTCCCGAAGCTTATCAAATATAAAGCCGTAACTTCTGCATTTGGATTTACAAAAATATGCTTCACATAGGACTAACAATAATGTCTTTCATATTATTATATAACATAATTCTTAAAATAATTCTGAAATACTGCATATAAGTTTTTACATATTCATCTTGTAGAGTCAAAGACATATTGTTGCATTGCGTCGCATGGAATTTCGTTTGGTATCTCTCTATATAAGTTGTCCGATTGTTCCATTCTTTAACATATTTTGTATTCTATTTCGTGTGTACACATAGGGGCAGAACGGAGGGCCTTTGGCAGGGATGCTCTTGAGAGTTTCCTCGATATCTTCACCGACGTAGAGAGATGTATGATGATTGGGAATGACGCAATTGATGACATCATCGAACCTCTCTTCGGGATCGATGTTCCTGGGTTTGAAGTCACGAGCTACCTGATCTCTCGATACACCGGTTACAATGGAGTTAAAGATATCTGCAATGCACTGGAAACGGCATTTACCGGTGAGTTTAAACGATTTCGTGCCTATGTTGGTCACTTCTACCCAATTAAATGGAATTTTAGATTTGCACGTCGACATAGTGGACTGCTACGTGTGACGTCCTGGCAGTCACATTTGACGTCCTTTTAAAGGCACTGGCAGTGCCTTAACCCTAAAAAGGCCGGACTATTTGAGGTCTTAGTACAGCCGGGGTGGGGGCCATTATGGCCCCCCTTAAGATCTCGGCCGTGAAACTGTCGATCTCCGCGAAAATTTGCACGCATGTCAAGTGAAGTGTATAGAATAATATGATAACTTTAATTTTTTGAAAAATTCACTCATTTGCATATTCATGGTAATTTATGCAAATAATTATACATTATCAAATGTCTATAAGTAATCAAAGCATTCAAGAAACAAAGGCATAATATTATCATAAATTAAGTCGGATCTTAAAGGACATTGAGAAATCAAGTTAAAAGCAGATCTTGTAGAGCATTGTGTGTCGGGATGGAGGCCTTTCCTCACTTTTTAACTTTGTTAATGTAGTAATAGCGTATATCCATAGGCTAATCATAATAATAATAATAATAATAATAATTTGTTAAAGTCCACTTCAATTTTTTTTTAAGTTAAACCAAAAATGGTAATTCTTTTTGCCCAATTGATCGTGAGCCCGGCAGCCACTGAGCAGCGCCAGATCGACGTTGCCTATCCTTTATTGTTGAACGCCAAACAAGGTAGTAGCAACCTCCCGTCTTTCAACGTCTTTTGGTATGACGCGGCCGAGAAAAAAAATCTGTATCAATATTTAATATATATATATATATAACTTTTGTTTTTCAGAGGTGGGCTGCGGAAAGAACTTGACTGCTGAAGAGATTCTTGAGATCTTAAGAAACGTCAGTATATTTTTGAATTTCAGGACCATCATTTTGAAACGACGTTGTTATCAAATAAACATTAAATCGGAAGTGGAATCAAATTGAAAAAGTAATGGAATTGGACTGACAAGGGAATTTAGATATAAATGAAACTGAAATTAAATTGAAATTTAAAAAAAAAAAACTTTATATTTAGTTATTGAGGAAAACCCAAGGTCTATGGTATAAACAAAACTTTCACATTTTATTATAAAAGTAAGTCCTATTTTGCTAGCCTTCTCTCTCTTTCTTTCTCTCTCTCTCTTTCTGTTCCTCTCTCTCTCTTATTATTTTCTCTCGCTCTCTCTCTCTCTCGTATTCCCTCTCTCTCTCTCTCTCTCTCTTCCTCTTTCTATCTCTCTTCCTCTTTCTATCTCTGTCTCTTCCTGTCTCTCTCTCTTATCTATCTCTCTCTTTGTTTCTCTCCCTCTCTCTCTGTCAATCTTCCTCTCTGTCTGTCTCTCTCTCTCTGTTTGATAAGTTCTGCATTTGATTTCGCAGGTAGAAATCACCTTAGATAACGTAGCAAATGTTGCTGAAGAGTTGGAAGACGTCACACGCATGGACCAGAACATCTTCCTAGAGGGTATCAATGTGGTTGCAGAACTTTTCGAGGATATAAATGAAATAAATTCTACAGAAACAAAGGTGGGTATTTGTTTCGAGTTCAATTGGATCTATTTATTAAATCATGGTTAAAGAAAAATACCTGTTTCTATCAGCTGAATGCTTGAACAACCGTATGGTTACTACGCTATACTTTCCGGTATTTAATACCTAGACGTGCTAATAAACAAGTTTACGGTCCCCTTTTCCACGTCTCATAAAGTGCTGTTCAGTAATTACTAGAGTTGTCAAGGTGATACTTACATAAGTCAATTACAAAGGGAGATCTCAGCATTATTCTGTCACGATTCAATCAGAACTATTTACTGGTACTCATACTATATTTCATTTTCTTGAACAATAGGTGACGAAATCTATGGTAGGAATTGTAAATAACATCGCAGCTTTACCTGACGAACTGCTTGGTATGGCCGAAGAAGAGAATAGCTCTCCAAGCCGTGTTGTCTCGGCTCTCGAAGCACAGCTTGCTGTCGTAGAAGTGGAAAATGGAAGTAGTCGGTTTGTGGAAACCAATGTTGCTGCTGAGGTAGGGCAGTCAGTCTGTAGTTTCAATCATTTTAGAAAAGGACACAGAAGTTTTGAAAATGTCCAATATATTTGACATTCTACTTTGGCTGTCATACCACTCAAATGAACGACTGAGGGATTAGGTGTTTGTACAAAATTATTATCAGCTCAATGAACCTTCCTGTATGCCATGCCTGATAAGAGTTTTGTGAATCTCAACCAATTTAAATAATCATTAAACTTTATCAAAATCGCTTTCAGTACCTGACAAAAGAAAAATTTATAAACGTCACACAGCCAACTATACATGGGAATCGATCCTTGACCGAAGTGCAAACGGGTACTGAAGAAAAGTGTCATATCGAGCAGGATCATCGAGGAATACGTACTACAAGTGTTTGTTCGATTGTCATTATATCCTTTCCCTTCACCACCAATAACAATATACCTAGCTCCCATACAAATTTAGGCTGACAGAACTTCTTTGATTTCGGAATGATTATTGTAGAGTCAGACTAGCTTCTAGGTCTAGTTGCTTTTCTGTCATACATCATAACTTTTCTTCGATATAAGTGCACGCTTTAACATTTCCATATTTTGTGCCCCACACATTTCTTATGTTATGTATGTTAAAATGTTTAACTAATTTTATTTTCTACATATTAGCTATACATAACTTCATCTGAGCAGTAGCGAATTAATTTCATTGGCCTATTTTCAGGCTCGTATTGCAGGGACGGTTTTTGTGACCAGCTGTCAATAATTATCTGTTCATACCTGAACTGGCTATTGTTCGCGATTCCACATTATATATTTAAAAAAAACACCCTCATTCGGTCTTTCCGTTTCAGGTACTTGATGTGACCACCGAGGACATCAGCCAGGGTTATACTGTCTTCATGGCTGTAACTGATGACGGTGAGAGCATCTCTGACGAAGACTTCAAGGTGGATAGAGGTGACCTAACGCAAGAGCCAGAAGCCGCCCAGGCACAGGCTACACTCTTCATCCCATCGGGTTTAGCGGACAAGTTTTCTGGACGCAGAGGGCGTCTCGTCATCACGACGTATCGCGTGCCATCTCTGTTCCAGGATACGGGGATTGCGCAGTTCAACCAAGATGTGGAAGAATTCAATCGAACCTTGAATTCAAGGATCATTTCGGCGTCTATCAATAACGAAAAGGTGGAGGATTTGAGCGAACCAGTCAGGATATCGTTCACTCCTCTAAATCCAGTAAGAAGATATGACAATTAATTTATTGAACTTATAGCGAATACAGAATTGTATCGCGTCACTCAACGAATATATTTACGTTTTAAAATGACACGAATTGATAAGCAGAGAATACTAAAAGTTGGCAGAAATGGATTGAGAAATTAATGGGTTCATGAGGATACACAAATAGTAAAGACCTATGGTGAAGAGAGAGAGAGAAAGAGAGAGAGAGAGAGAGAGAGAAGGAGGTAAGGAAATAGAGATGGAGAGGATATGTAAGACAAATCAAGAGAATCTGGTGTAAACCTTCGACTGTGATATCATAAACTGATTGGCATCAACAATAATTTGCAAATGCAACAAAGAACTTCATAGATCCATCAACAACAAAAAAAAACAATTTACAATAACAATGAACTATATTATACTTCATTTTAGAGAAAAATATTAATTAATCCGTTTAATTTGTACTTTATCTTTATTTTCAGAAGGGGACCGATGCTCAGTGTGTATTCTGGGACTTTGACGACAAATCCTGGTCCCAACGTGGATGTAACAAGACGAGTAATGACACCAGTGACAGGATTGAATGCGAGTGTAATCATCTGACTAACTTCGGAATTCTCATGGTACGTGTTAAACTCTTCGTCCGAAATATCTTCATGTAAACTGATTCATTCATAATCTGTTTACTGAATTGAACAGGCTAAATCTACCAGTCAAGATTTCATGCTAAAATATGTTAACAGGTCTTTGCCTCAAAGGTATAGTGACTAGTATATATGAAATGATTCCATCCATATCAGAAGCTTGCATAAACTATATTATATATTCTTTAAAACTACCCAAGGACAAAAAAATGTGAGGTACGGAGGCCAAGTCCTATGTAATTGATCAACCTATAACATCAACAACTCTGTATCACTCCAAAGCTTCAAAACAAATTTATTTAAAATAAAAAAATAAATATGATATGATTAGTTTGGTGATTTACCCCGACAAGCAACTGTGCATTTGTATCCCTTCCCTCCAAGTACTGGTTCATCATCTTATCTCCCCCTTTCTCACTTAATTGCTTTTTTTAAGGTATGTATTCTTTGTATTTTAATAATGTACATTATTTGTATTCAATTGTTTTTGGAATGGGGAAAAATAACTTAAATGAAAAAGACATGTTTGCCGTGTATGGTAAATAAATTATTAACCAAGATTCGAATAAGTCCCACGTATGAGTATGACTCATTTGATTAATTGGGCACGAATTTTTACAGCAGTTTTAAAGTTGTTATTATTTTACGGTTTATCAACTACATTTCAAAATGAAAATGTCGTGACCCAAAGTTTCGTGTCCTTATCAACATTTTACGAAGTGGGTATTTTTTCTTAAATATTTTTGGCGTTTGTTTGGTTTTGTCCGTATAAAAAACGTACATGCATACATAATTTCTATTAAAATAAAAAATAATGATAATTACTTAAGCATTTAATACGGATGGATCGCTCTATTCAGAGCCATTCATTTAATGGCTCTGTTCTTTCTAGAGGTCTGGATTCGTTCATTTCCATCAGGATTTTGTCCCAGTCTTTCATTAGTCTGAGAGCACTGTGGTCTATTAGTAGAGGCCCTTGACTCGCTAGTCAATAAAAGGCCGGTTCTTATTTCATACCTCTGTCGCCCACATTTCCTGCAAGCCGCTGAAGATGAGGGACTCAACGAACTCGGACGCCCAGGCTTTTCAGAAATCACGTCATCTTCGGCTTGCAGAATGTAGGCGAAGATCAAGGTGGTGGAGATTTAATATTAAAACTATTAAATTGTCTAGACTCTTGAATATTGACTCACATACGAGAGGTCGTATCCAAGATTCGATCCTTTCCTGTGCTTCCATCATTGGATAAGGTGCTCACATTGTCCCTCTAAACCCAGGGATTTTTCTTGAATACCGGGAAACACTGGGGTGATAATAATAGTTATTACACATACGAGGTTCTTTTTCCGTAGAATAAATCATGTATTTGATTCTATTTCTTTGATCTAGTGAAATACTGCTTTTCCTATGTTTAATTCCTCACTCCATGGACCTAATAACTTATTAGGTTATTAGGTCCATGCTCACTCCATCGGATAAAGAATCAGCGTGCAATACCAATGTGGCTACTCGGGGTAAATAAGACCCAATTATTGTTTAATCATTTTTCTTTATTACGCCTATAAGGTCAACGTGAGATTTGAAATTTGAATCCCATAATAGGGGCTCACCTTGTGTCTAAGTGGACGATTTCAGAATAGATAACAATGTCATGTTTTCTCAGTTAATTTCGAACCTTTATTTTCTTTTCGTTATAGGATATCTATGGAGGAGAACATTTATCGGTTGAGGCAGATTTCATCCTCAAGATCGTTAGCTATGTTGGTTGCCTGATTTCAATATCGGGCCTTGTTATGACAATCTTTACATATGCCACAAACAAGTGAGTACCATTATCAAGTGCCAAATTATTATACAACATTGTCTTCATAAATAATAAGAAACCATTTATGTTCAGCACATGGAGAAGAATTTGAATCCGCTTAAAATTTATATTCGTTTTTGTTTCATTTAATATAGACATCAACATTTAATAAAATAAATACATGTCTAAATTGAGGGGGCGCGATAGGTCAGTCGGTGGAGCAGTGGTCTCGTAATCCGGTGACCCGAGTTCGAAACCAAGGCGATGCGCTAGTGCCCTTTGGTAAGGCATTAATCCTCATTACCAGGTCCCTCGGAGAGGACCTAAAGCCGTCGGCCGTCTGGTTCCTTACGTACAAGCATTTATGCTTTCTTAGCAGTCAGGTAAAATAACAACCACCACATGTTAATACGATGATGATCGCCTCCAATGTAGATTGTTTCGGAATAAAGCTGTCAACGATATTAAACATAATGATAAAAGAATGTGATTATCCTAATCCTAACCTGAACCCTAACTGAAACAAATCAAATAATCCTCTCCTTCAAAAAAGTTATTTCAAGTCAGCTTGAGACTTCCACATGTTCAGTTAAAGGTCATTTTAGAGAATTTAAGGAAATGGTAAATTTGTTTATGAATTTTAGTTATTTTATTATGATAATGCAGCATTCACAGAGCATCTTCTGGTTTTCTTTCTCATCTCTCAGAAAGCTTCGAGACCGGAAACCCAACCAGATTCTCCTATCCCTCTGCTGTGCTTTGCTAGGACTCTATGTGGTCTTTATAGTCATGATATCAGTGGACACTAAACGGGATGTGACTGAGCTCTCCCCTCTCCCTTGCTCGATCCTGGCTGCATTCCTCCAATATTTCATCCTGGCAGCTATTTTCTGGATGGCCGTTGAGGGCTTCAACATGCATAATCTCCTCGCACTGGTCCGAAATTATTATTTGCCACGGTTTATGAAGAAAGCTTCGTTGATCGCATGGGGTAAGATTTCATCTGCTCCATGAATTAATACAGGGGCGTTACTAGAAGGAGAAGATTGGACATGGGATGTCCCCTCCCTTATTCCGTCGGCAAACATATGCAATAAATGTATCCACAGCATTATTTTTTTAATAGATATATTAACATCAATTGCCACACTTTGAGCGAGAGGGCAGAATATTCATTGTGCGTTATTCGCTGTTACCGATTATTTGGCTATACTCGGTTTTCCGAAGATGTGTATGCCCGTCGGGGCACCGATAAAGCGGTTATTATAACATGAATCCACCTACCGCCTCCCCTCGCCCGAAAAGTTAATGTAGGAAATTTATCTTTCACACTTATCATGATCATTGTTGGCAAGGGAATACAATTTAAAGAAGTGCTTGTTTGAAGCCCCTTATATGTAGTAGAACTGTTCTGGAGAAATTCCCGAACCCGTTCGCTTATTTCATCTCATTCTAGTTATTCCATTCATTTATATTTCTTCAGGGTTTCCTGTTCAACAAAAGTTGGTCTTTCATAGGGCCCTGACAATCCATTAAAACTATATGCATTAAAACAAGATAAAATCATACAATCAAGTAGCATAAACACATAACGTTATTACTACACCTTATAAACTAATTCAATGAAATTGTTCGAGCTTAAAAACATAATACAAAGTAAACATCAATAACAAAGCCTGAAAGGATGAGCAAATTTTCATTATATATGTAGGTCACTTGCTGAGAGACAAAAAGGAAAGAAATATAGAAAGAAAGAACCAAAAACAGAAAGGAATTAGAAATACAAAAATAAAGAAGAAAGAAGAGGGGAAAGACAGGGAGAGGAAGAAAAGGACTAATATGAACTTAAACACTCTCAATTTTTTTTTTTTTTTTGTAGGTTGCCCTTTGTTAATAGTCGGGATTACTGCAGCTGCTTCAAGACAATACTACGCACAGACAGATTTGTAAGTTTCGTCATGCAGAATATCTTTTGTTAACACATCGGGTTTTGTATTCCTCTGCCGTCAAAGGTAGTGCAGGGGGAATTACTTCTGCATTATGAAAACAATGGTGTTTTATATCTCAAATGCAATTTGTTGTGAACGTTATAAATAATGAAAGTTAGTTCTTAATATGGGCATGCGCAAAGAACTGAATGGTGAAATTATCGATTTCTTATCAAGAAACCTATAACATTCTGTATATGTACTTTGTTATTATTTTTTGTTATGATTTTACATGATTTTATAACCTAATATTACTTTGTTGATCCTCTCTCAAATTGGTAATCATCTCTCAAATCTCTCAATTTGACACCTTGTTGATGTACTCCGAAGATCAAGATACATTAATCTTGATCTAAGGAGACACGAACAAAGTTAACGTTGTTGTGACAGATCGAATTTTGTGTTCTTTGACACTCTGTAAGAGATAACATCCCATTATATTGGTATCATGACTTAACACGATCGCAAAGAACTTGAAAATCAAGTAAAGGCCATTTCAAGAGCCTGTTATATGTGCTTAGTATAAGGAAAGGCGCTTTCTCAATGTAACATTGGCATGCTTAATATTTGTATTAATATTAATAATATTTATGTCAGTGTAATGTTTGCACATTTCTAAAGGTGACACACATTTATCTCAAGTCTTGGTGATCTTCTTATACACTCAATTCAGAAATATAAATCCGTTAAGATGATGTTTTATTTCATTTAAATTTTGTGTTATAGTTGCTTCCTTGCATTCTGGCCTTTAATCGGTGGTCTCCTAATACCTATTGGTGTCGTCATGATCTTCAACTTGTTCATCTATGTTCGGGTCCTCATGCGACTGAACACTAAAACTATGAAAGGGAAACACCTTGATAAAACAGAGAAGCGCCTGCGGATTCGACGATTCCAGAACGCAGTTTGCATCCTGACTCTAATGGGTCTCACGTGGTCGCTTGGTTACCTGAGCATCATACAACCAGCCAGTGCGGTTGTGCAAGGAATCTTCACTGTACTGAACTCTCTTCAGGGGTATTTCATCTTCATGCTCTATTGTGTTATGCAGCCTCAGGTGCGCTTGACATGGCGTTCCCAGTTCAAATGCTGCTTACCTAAATATTTCACGACGCCCTCTGCGGTCAGTTCCGGTTCTGGACAACCCAGCTCAACGCTCCAGAACAGCTCAGCAGACCTGAAGGACGGCCCGTTTCCAACTCGGACTCCAGCGGAAATCCAGAGACAGGAGGCTAGCTCTACTGGAGAGACTTTCTAGAGCTTTGTATGATAATGCTGGTACAGAGTGGTGAAGATACCATGTAGAACTGATAGATTTTGGATTGGACCAAAGAGTTGTAAAAAAATCACACATTCGAGTATGTTTTCGATGCATTTATAGCAGTTCATTCCGAACGTTCTATGAATACATCACTTATTTCTTCTGTTACAGATCTCCTTGTAGTTGATTGAATTTCCGTTGATTTTCATTATTCGAACTGTTAGCGGTGGACTTCTAACTGGATGGTTTTTGTGTAATAGGATTATTTCCCTTTTAACGAGTGAGTGAAGAAGATGCATTTTTTAAACATGTTTATGATATACATTATGATTTTTTCGCATGGTATAATTGGTATGAAGGTAACCTATACGTATGCTGCAAATAAAACAGATAGTTTTATGTTTCACGTGGAAAACGAAAGCATTATTTGATTATATACAGATTAAATTGAGAATCTCACCAATTAATTTAACAAATATTATGAATGAAACATAAATAGTAATATGAGAATATAAGATTTATATATTGAATTATGGGAGGTGAAATTATAACCCCTTGGGAAACAATATTCTTGATGCTGCTACCAATGTGGTCCATATTTTCTACCAGGTATTCCCTTTCCCCTTCCATCCTTGATCGAATTATCGTTTCTTCTGCCAATGAGAATACGGATGCGCGATGGCTCCGTGGTAGAGCATCGGTCTCTTAACCGGGAAGTCCCAGGTTTGAAACCAAGTCGAGGCGCCAGTGCCCTTTGGTATTGGCATTAATCCTCATTACCAGGGTTTTCGGAGATTACTTAAAGCTGTCTTTTCTTTTCTTTTTACAATGCCATTGATTTCATAAATTTGCTTTCTCTTCTTCTTCTTCTTCTGCCTCTTCTTCTTCCACTTATTTTTCGTCTTCCTCTTCTTCTTCTTCCTTCATTATTTCCTATACTCATTATTCTATTTGTCTTTCCTTCTCACATTCACTCTTCGTGTATGTCATTACAATCTCATACTATACTACTCCGTTTTCGTCTCCTATAATACCTTTTTCACATACAAGCTATGCTTTTTATTTAGGCTCCCCACATGTTACATTGTTTTACCTTGCCTGACAAATCTATATATTTCGAAACTTCGTATATACTTATTTTCCGTACATTATACTTGATTTGAAATCTTTAATTTGGTTTGTGTGTGTAATCTACTCTGACTTAATATAAGCTTGTAAAAAAAAATTGAATTGTTTTTTTATGTAAATGTGGAATAAATAAACTTCAAACTTCAAACTACTACAAATGCTTTCTAAGTAGTCAGGTAAAACAAACAAACAAGAATGTTCCTTATTGTCAAATTTTGCATGTTTTTACATGATCTGATTGTCTTCATTGAGTAACTAATATAGCTGCGGTTAGAGTACAATCCTCCAGAATTTGCGTTATGAATTCAATTTCGGTAGGAAATTGATTGCAGGGAAAACTTCACAGGAGCACATTTAGCCTTTTGACAAGGCCTCGTGACTCTGGCTATGTCCACCCTAATTAGCCGCTGAGATGAGTCTAGAGACCCGGGGTGAACGCGCGATCGAGTGTCTTTACTTGGCTGGGCCACTCGCTCTGGCGTTCACTCGGGTTTTTCGCGATTAGTCTCTTTTAAGTCACTCCGCGTCTTTCAGACATGAGGCCTTGTCTAAAGGCTAGAGCGCATTTGACGTACAACCGTCAACAATGATTAAACAGAGAATGCTTTGATTTTCTTCCTTCTTCCGTTTTGGCTTGACTGTTGATATGAAGTAAATAAACCAACATGAAAAAAAATACTGTGATGTTTTTGTGTTTACTAAAATGAATGACCTTTCACCATTACGACGTATTGTCTGAGTCAATATGTTTATGGTAATAATGTCGGCCACACTCGCTCTCTGCAATGTTTTTTGTCAACCTTCACTATCCTTCTCTCTCTCTCTCTCTCTCTCTATCTATCTTTCTCTAATATACACTCACACTCACACGAACACGTGTGCGCGCACACACACACACACACACACACACGCACACACACAACAACATAACACACACAAAAGCCCAATGTAAACAAACAAACAGAGCACATCAAAAAACACTAACAACAACAATTTAAAGAAAACAAAAGTACCCCGACTTTAATAATTTGGTCAGGCGACAATCTGCCTTTGGAGTTAGGGATAAGTCTCCCATTTGTCGAGTACAAAAATGCCACAAATTTCTGTTATTCTCTTAGGCACTTTCTCGCTTGAGACATTACACAAACTATATTGTGGAGAGCATATTACGAATGTCCTCTAAACAGAAAGACTCTCCCGAGTCTTTAATCTTTAAAAAGAAAAAATTTTGCCATTATGTGTGTTGGAAGATGTGGGCAATTTGTCACGCGCTTTGTCATATAGTGCCCATTACCTTGTAGTGATTCAAACTTTCAGAAATTCATAACTTTCTAACTTTTTGTCCGATTTCCTTCCAAACTTTCACCAGTCTGCTTCTCTGGTTTTTCTGCTCTTCTTTTAGTCTAGAATAGTTTGCTGTTAGGGTAGGATTTATTGTTAAAAGTTCGTACTGCTTTCTGAATAGCAGTCAGGCACGTATACTTGATGCTTTCTGATGCATATAACAAGTTACGTGTTTTTATTTTTTAGAATGAAATTATGCCCGCTTTGATTTTCTTCCTTCTTCCGTCTTGGCTTGACTGTTGATATGAAGCTAATAAACCAACATGAAAAAAATACTGTGATGTTTCTGTGTTTACTAAAATGAATGTCCTTGGACCATTACGACGTATTGTCTGAGTCAATATGTTTTGGAAATGATGTCTCCCGAATTCTCTCTCTCTCTCTCTCTTTCTCTCTCTTTCTCCGTCTCTTTCTCTCTCTCTCTCTCTCTCTCTCTCTCTCTCTATCACTGTCCGTATGTCTATCTGTCTGTCTCCCTCTCTCTGCCTCTTTCTATCTCTGTATATTTCTCTCTCTCTATCTCTGTCTGTCCGTCTGTTTCTCTTTCTCTCCCTCTGTCTCTATCGTTGTCTGTCTTTCTTTTTCTTTCTCTCTCTTACTTTCTCTCCCCCCCCCCCCTCTCTCTCTCTCTCTCTCTCTTTCTCTCTCAATATTGTGCTTTTTGCCTGTGTCTTTGCCTCCCTCTATCTGTCCTGTAAACCTACTTTTCGGCCACATTACAGTATAAACATTGAAGATTTTGTTTGAGATTCGTCTCTTTTATTGGTTTCTTGTACACTTTATAATACTCGGTTATCCAAAATCTGCCCATGCAGAACGGTATTCATTCAAACACAAATGACCTTAGATTTCGGAATAAATGTAAGTGTGTTTACGTCCAAGTGTTTAAAGGAAACCTCAACCTAAGAAAAAACGTTTGCTTATTCTGGGAGATTTGTTTGTGCATTGTCTCGAAATATTTTGTTTTCATCAATTTTTTTTCCTCACTTTTTCTTCTAAAATTTGGTTTGTCCTCGGAAAAAAGGAAACCCCCACCCCTACATTTTCAAACCAAGGCTATTTAATGTAACAAATATTGACTGGCAGGGGGTATTATTTAGACCGCTCACCATATTCTCCCTCAGCGCTGCGCGCTTCGGGAAAATATAACCACTTCAGAAAATATAACTCCCTTCAGCGGTCCAAATAAAGTTATATTACACACCCCGCCAGTCAATATCTGTATAATATTTAAATGAATTAGTTACAAGAATTGTTCCCTTGATATATATTTCACCAAATGTTATTTCTTCTCAGCTGTGATATTTCCTCATTGAAAAGTAAAGGTTTTGTTATTGATTTAAAAAGTATTTAATAATAATAATAATATGAACAATTTATATAGCGCTTGTGACAAAAGTTTCAAAGCGCTGTACATGTTTGTACACAAATCAAAATTACTTCAAAAAAAAAATCAATATTACTAATGGAATTAACATTACTCAAATTACCAAGAAAATAAAATATTACTAACATAACTTAACATATTATCATTACTTAATAATAATAATAATAATAAATTATATTTCTATAGCGCATTATACAAGGTATGTCTCTATGCGCTTTACATTGTATTACAAGCTTAATTAATTACATACATCTACTATTGAACTATCCTCAAAAAATTCAAAAAATCTGACAAGATCTTAACTGAAATAGTATAACAGTAACTAGATAGATATTAAATTAACAAGAAGATCAAATATTACTAACAGCTAAAGACTGGTGTATCATACATAGGCCTATAAGAAAAACATGACGGAGCTGATGTCATGCCAAAAGGCATCACACCCTACCAAGAATATCTTTATTTATATATCTCTTGTACTTTTTCGTAAGGGATATTGTACATCAAAGGGCAGGAATACAGTTCATTTTGGGGGATGAGGTTTCCTTTAACTGTTACAGCATTGGACGTAGTCTGAATCGTGATTCAGTTCATATTAACGAGGAGGGCGTAATCAGACTCATGGCCTTTGTTTTTGTAGCTGTAGCCTTTGGACACGCCCCAAATGGTCACCATGGAAACGAGCGCCACGATGCCGACCACATACGCCCTCGTGCCGAACATTCCTCGAGATTCTATTTGAGAGAGGGGGAGGGGGGGAGAGAGAGAAAACAAAGGAAGGGGAGAAATAGAAAGAGAGAGAGAGAGAGAGAAAAGCGTTGGGGCAGATTTTTTTTTCAAAGATAACACAATTAATAACACGATAATCATGGTAGTTTATCTCGTAAAAAGGATGTATCTAACTGAGCGGTAAATGCTGAACGTTGCGAATTTTGGATTCGCAAATTTTACTGACGGAAGTTGGCGACTATAGTGACTGTAAGCAAATGTTAGCGACAGTTTTTGCGAAGATTAGCAACTATATACCAACCCTTTGCCACTATTTGTGAATGTTTGAGACCTTTTGCTAACTCCTGGTACTCAATGGGCCGATTTTATATAGGAACTACAACCTGTATAATGGAAACGTGGTCACTAGCATTGGCAAATCAAAAAGAACTTCAGCGACACCGTCTTAAAACCGTTTGCAAATGCTTACGACTGTTTGCGGAAGAATAAATTTGAAAATAAATTTTGAACATTTTCAGAAAAACTGTTTGCGGCAATGAAAGCTGTTTGCGAACTGGTTTGCAACCTTTTTACTACACTGGCGAAACCCCAAATTTGCTACGTTCGCAAGCATTTGCCGGTAAGTGAACGAAATTACATTTTGTTTGCTTCTTAAAGGCAGTGGCGGATCCCCCCCCCCCCCCTGAGAAAAAAATCATGTAAAATCACGTGATTTTTACCTTTTTTTTGGGGGGGGGGGGTTGGCCCCCCCCCCCCTGGCGCTCAAGGTGGGGGGGGGTGCAAATTGAAAAAATTTCGAGGACCAAAACAAAAAAAATGTGCTCCGCCGACAATTGTTCCGCCGACAATTGCTCCGCCGACAATTTCTCCGCCGACATTTGCTCCGCCGACATTTGCTCGGCCTGTCAATATTTCTTTCATAGGTTATTTTTATGTTTTGTGTGATTTGTTTTGTTGCTGTTATTCAGGGCCGTAGCCAGCATTCTGAGAAGGGGGATGCGTTTTAATTCCCGTATGTTTTATGCTGCGCAAAGATTCAATCAGTTTAATTTTGGCCCTTACAAGAAGTGGGTTATTGATGTAGACAAATAATGCTCATGTACCCTTTACAGCTCATTTTATATATGTTATTACCAAAGAAGAAGAAAAAGCCAGTTTGTCACTCAATAGTGTCTGACAGTGAAGTCTAGCAAATAAACAGGTTTCCTTCATAATTGGATATTAGGACACTGCTAACGTTTAACTTTCACATACATGACATATTCATAATTCCTGCAAATTTCTACAGAATTTGATGTTGGCTGCAAAAGGGGAATAGTATCTTTAAGGGGATGTTTTTTTGTTTGTTTTTGATTTGTTAATTTGGCGAACAAGGAAGGTAAAAATCATAGGTTATAATCTTGAATAGAATGTTTCTACATTACGCCCCTTAATTTGAATCAAATGGGCAAGTATTATTCCAGGATTTATTGTTTATTCCTTGTTGGCGAGCGAGGTTAACGAATGGTCGAAATTCTTAGGCTTGCCATTTCATATTAAAAAGCATCTGCGTGACCAGCATCGCTTGTTAATCACTGATGTACAAAATGTATTACGAACATATAAAGCGTAGCAAACAAGCGAATTTTCATCCTTTTCATATAATAACTGAAAACCATCTGCCTTAATCACTAATGATTATTTTACGAGCATGTAGTATACTTCATACTCTATTTTATTTCTAGTTTTTCCCCGACGTGTCCCGACGCCGCGCCGGCAAGATTTACCGTAATCTTCCTATATTCTATTTTGTGTCCCTTTTCCCTTGTCTTAAGCCTTTTCTTTTTCTCTTTTCTTGACCTTTTCTTTTCCATGTTTTCTTGTCCTTTTCTTTTCTTTTCCTTTCTTCCTCTCCTTTTTTCTCTGCAAAAGGGAGCATTTGTCTTCAACGGGGTACTTTAGGGGCGGAGCAAATGTCGGCGGAGCAAATGTCGGCGGAGCAATTGTCGGCGGAGCAAATGTCGGCGGAGCAATTGTCGGCGGAGCAAATGTCGGCGGAGCAATTGTCGGCGGAGCAAATGTCGGCGGAGCAATTGTCGGCGGAGCAAATGTCGTTGGAGCAATTGTCGGCGGAGCAAATGTCGGCGGAGCAAATGTCGGCGGAGCAATTGTCGGCGGAGCAAATGTCGGCGGAGCAAATGTCGGCGGAGCATGTGTCGGGTTACCCAACATCTATCATCATTACATGATAGCATCTTGTTCATTATGCATAATTACCGCCATCTAGCTGGTTGTTATCATTCATTAATCATGAAAATAGTATTTTGATCATCGATCGTGATAATTAGCTTGCTTCGATATGATTCCCATCGTGATCAGCATCTTTTTCATATGTGATGTCAGAGGGCGCTATGCACGAAATACGTGACCATTCATGTAAGATAACTGTTAGAGACAAATGTTAGAGGCCCCCCGTGGTACGCGTATGCATGTTCCCTATTTTTGACAACATCCCCTATCTCCGGTGTGAAATTCAATGGCGGGCCGGGCTTTGTCACGCGAAAAATTACCCCTTTACCATGAAATTTTGGAAACACGCAGACTACACAAACGTGTGTCATAAAAATAGGGCCTTACTTTTAAACTGTTACTTGTCATATTTAGAATATGGAGGCATTTGAAGAGCCATGGTTTTCAGTGAACATTTTTCTCTGATGTTCTTACACTCTTGCATAATAACAATGATAACGCTCACATATTTTTTCCTCTCCCACGAACTCAACCTTCTCTTTAAAAGGATTTTATATCACTAATCATTAATGGATTTCGAAGGTGATTGAACCAAAGCATTATTTACATCCCCAAAATCATACCAACAGCAAGTTGAATTTCCCCCGGATTTTTGGTACACACTGCCTTGCACTGAGCGATGGGGGCATTCTATTCACTGTGCGATAGCGTATTGAGAGAAATAGTTGCAACACGCGCACACGCATGCGATCAAAGGTCAATTCACGGAGCTCCAAACCACATGTCCCTCCCACATAGGGCTTATAATGTGAGAAGGAACTACTTGAAGCTCCATGAATAAAACTTCGATCGTCTGCATATGCGTGTGTCACAACTATCTCTCTCACAACGCTGTGCGGATTTGCGCTATTTTCGGTTTTCCGAACTTGTCTGACAAGTGATTTTTCGATTTGCACGTTCACTAGTGGACTGCGACGTATGCGGTCACTTTTGAAGCAGTGCGCATGCGCATCGACGAGCTCATCGTTCGTATATAGCAGAATTCTCGAACGCGTTCGCCCTTGTTTTGCCGTTGTTTCCAAACTGTGACGATTATGTTCGTAAGCAATCTTTTGTAGGAACGAAACATCAAACTGAAGTCACAAAATTGACCCAAGTGACCTAATTCTAGAATTAAGCGGAGAGTGGTGGAAGCGTGAATTCTCTTAAATTAACACATTTTCGTGTCTGTAATTTCTCTTAAATCAAAATTGTTGCAGAATAATTCATGAAATGAACACATTTTGTTTGTGCATCGCCAATCTTTTGCAGCATAATTTTCGAGATCAGTCCCATGCACCGAATTCGGTGTGATGAATATTTAGCTTTTCGATCGAATTTCGCGCTCACTAAGCAGAATAATTCATAAAATGAACACATTTTATTCATGCAACGCTAATCTGCTGCAGCATAATTTTTGAGAACAGTGCCATGCACCGAATTAGGTGTTATATTTTAGCTATTCGATCGCGTTTCGCGCTCACTAATTAGCGAGCGTCGTATATAGTTGTGTAAAATCGAAAAGGTAACGAACAACAATCAGCGTGCCTCGTCAACCCTGCTTAAAAATGACCGCATACGTCGCAGTCCACTTATGAAAGTGCAAATCGAAAAGTCTCTATGTCTGACTGTTATAGACGACACCTACCTTTGGAAGAGGCAGCATAACTGGCATCCGAACTGTAAACGGTTAATGGGCCATAGCTGATGGTGTGTCTGGTGCCTGAACTGACACTTCGACGTCGTACAGCAGACTCTGCGCCCTCACATTCTACACCTGACCTAGCAGCCTTAGCTTTGTCAGATCTGCATACTACAACGTCGCAATATATGTTAATCTGTGTATTCAAATTCAAATGGATATGTATCTTGCACATATCCTTTTCATTCATGTTTTACAAAATACTCAAATTACATAATGCATACAGAGTCATTATTAAATAATTGTTTGTTTTACCTGACTACTAAGAAAACACGTGCATGCTTGTAGGAAAGCAACCAGGGGACCACCGGCTTAAAGTCCTCTCCGAGGGACTAAATCTGATAATTTACGAGCACTTCAAGTGTATATATTGTCTAGGTATTCAAATTCAAAATAATTAATATTTTGCACGATGATTCTTTTAAATATTGTACATCAAATAACATCAAACCACGATTGCAAACGCTTTCGAAAATCAATCTTTTTCAAAGCCTTGTCCATTATTTATTTAAACGAGCGAACATTACAAGTATACACAGACGTTGTTTGTTCGTGTATCCGGACAGTTGATTTAAAACAGCCATTTGAAGAAGCTTACAAGCAATATTTTGAATAAATCTTCTAAGACTTATGTTGGACAATACTATAAAGGACAAAATATATGCATTATGTTTAGTGCTTTTTGTTGTTTAAGTTCCGTTAAATCAGAAGGTCAAATGAAAAATTTTATTTTTGTTATGTTTCCGGACACTCAACCCTTATTATACTTATTTCGTAGTCCATGCATTTTTTTTAAAGGATATACGATAGCGTATTGAAATTGCATTTCAGTTGGTTTTCCAAAGTCCAAGCGATCGTGATTAAATATACAAAGAGTAAACTAAACTTAAGTTAAGAGCATGAATTAGGGTGTACAACTAAAATGATTCACATTAAACAAAATGTACGATCATGTTACATGTCGCTTTCCCGAAGATTCAAGATTCCTAATGTTTGTTTACTCCAAAGCTAGGTTCATGATTCCTAGAATAACCATTCGGAATTATTGGAATTATGAAACTTCGGAGTAATGAACCCTTTTTCTTTTTCGGATTTCTGAACGTTGGTTTATTTCCAGAATTGCGAACCCTTTTAAAATTTTCAGTAGTGTCTACTTTACGTTCGGAGTTATAAACCCCTGGTATGGAAAACTGTGTTTTGGGATTTTGAACTTTCGGAAAAACGATGACCCCCCCCCCCCCCCCTTCCCTAAAAAAAGGGGGGGGGGTGCATATGGAATATAGGATGTACGAACTATGGGACCAAGTGTATACAAGGAGATCATTTAAAAGGATAATAACAGCAATGAGAAAAAGGACGTAGAATGGTAATTAGAAAATAGTATGGTCGGCTTAAAGAGATCATAAGGACATAAAGTATACAACTTTGAGGTAATTGGGAAATGTTTAAAATTGGACGGATAGTAATTCTTTAAGATTTTGATATATTTGGATGCCCTTGTGGATGTATTATAAGCGTTAGAAAATTTAGCCCCTAAAACATATGCTAACGTGAAATTGAATAATCAAATTGACCGGTTAATTTCAATTATTTTAAATAGCGCCTAAAGCCATTCTATGGTAGCTGCGACCATGAAAATATCAGAATATGCAATTCTGATATATAGTTCCCAAACGGAAATATCAAATCGGTCGATTGTAGTTAAGAAACATTGTTTTAGAGCTAAAGTAATATCAGTCTTGAGAGGGAGATATACAACATAAAGGGTTTATTATTTAACAATTTCATCCCTCTAGACTTGATTTCAACCACTACAGCGATCATTGAATTTTGTACAATCGCATATGCTTCCAATATGTTCATTTGAACCGTATTCATGACCCCATACCAAAACTTTATATCACCTGTAAGGACGTATGGGGTCAAAGAGATATTAGATAAACGATCAAAGAAATGCAGAACGTAAAGAGGTTTTTTTAGGAAATAATATATACATTTATTTACCTTAGTGACGCCAGAGATTTCGTTTATAAAGCGGAACGCATCAAAAGAAAACCCTTCACGATCCAGTGTCAGATTGTGGAACACTGTAACTGTCTTTTCTGCAGAACACCTAGAAAGATAACAATCAATATTGGCCTTAAGTGTGATACAGGGGTACATAGCATGGCATTCTAAAATCCAGTTTAATGGTGTAGCGTATGCCTAGTTATTGAGGTAAAACGTGTGGCATGGGGGAGGGCACCTGACGTCAGCCTCGTTCTGATGTGACACGGCAAAACCGCGGCGGTGTTTGTTTATAAAGACGTTAAGTGAAATTCGCTTAACACTTTCTATTTGATAACACAGAACTCAGTTAAAGGTCCTATGTCCCATTTGCAGGCCAAAAAAATGAAAAAGTTAAATTCCAACTGCATTTGAAAGATAATACTAATTTAGAACTTCCCTAAAAAAAGGTAGGGCTTGAAAGTAGTGGGAAAATAATGACTATTAGTTGTCAAATCGATTTTAGGGCTATAGAGCCCAAAAGTAATAGTCTTGATTTTCAGACAATTGTACCGAATGGTCATACGTTTTATGCTGCGCAAAGATTCAATCAGTTTAATCTTGGCCATCACAAGAAGTGGGTTATTGATGTAGACAAATGCTCATGTACCCTTTACAACTCTGTTCATGTATGTTATTACCAAAGAAGAAAAAAGGCCAGTCAGTCTCTCAATAGTGTCTGACAGTGAAATTTAGCAAGTAAACGGGTTTCCTTGCATAATTTGAATATGAGGACACTGCTAACGTTTAAATTTCACAGATAGGACATACATGACATATTTATAATTCCTGCAAAGTTCTGCAGAATTTGAGGTTGGCTGCAAAAGGGACATACATGTAGTACCTTTAACTCTCAAAAAGGCCGGGCTATTTGAGGTCTTACTACGTGCTACGTTTGAGGGCTTACTACGGCCGTGAAGCGGCCGATCTCCGCGAAAATGTGCACGCATATCAAGTGAAGTGTATAAAATAATATGATAATTTCAATTTTTTGAAAAATACACCTATTTGCATATTTATGGTAATTCATGCAAATAAGGTCATAAAATCACATTTTTACCAATAAATCATAATTATTCATACCTAAGCATTCTTTTTCACTACATATATTCATTAGACCATTTGGAATAAAAAAATACGACAAATTGTTTTTGGAAGATCCAGCTTATTCCTTATGTTATCTCTTGTTTTGATAATTTCTTATGTATTTCACTGTTTTTTTAACTTATGTATTTTATTGTTTTTGTTGTTTTATTTCATTTTTTTTTTACTACAATTCAACTATTTTGACTAAAAAAAAAACACCTAAACATCAAAAAAGTCCCAATAACCAATGTTTAATCTATTTTTAGGAAAAATGACATTTCCTTATGTTTTGTACACAAAGCGCAAAATTGAGCGATTTTCGGGCTGACATGCAAAGACAAAAGGTCACGTGACCTTGTAACTGTAGGTCCGATTTTCATTTTTTTTTTTTTAAAGATCCGCAAGACTCGAAAGAAAAAAGTCATCGAGCGGCGGGGCACCATTCAAATGCGTTCCCGAGCAATTGATAAAATCGTGGGCCTTATTAGGGTTAAAATGTGCGGGTCCTTAATCGCGCTCGCAGTTGGCCTAAATTTACGAACGCCTCGCCTTTTTTAAATATTGTTTTATTTTGCGGTTTACCGCGTCATATATAAACGAGATTTTACTGAGATTTACTGATGATGGAAAATGCGAGGAACTAGGTCATATTGTGGGAGGAAGGTGGTGAAGACGGAAGTTTATACTATTTTCACGTTTCCTTCCCTCTATATGGTACATTCCGGCCCAGTATATTTTCGCCATATAGAAGGAGCGTATAGGTCTACCCTGAACCCCGTATCATACATAAACCTTGTGGAAAATGAACTGTTTCACATTGTATTGAATTTCTGGCGTATGGGCTGATTGCCGTCGGATATTTTATCTCGATTTACTAAATCGAAATAACGCCTCGTCTGAGCGGGCATAATTTGGACGTCCTGAGTAAGACTTACTGGCCTTTGATGAGATCTTGTTGGGGTTCATCATGACCCTCCTCTGAAGCCCAGCAGAACTTGATGAAGACACCGACAACGGGTGTGGAGTCTAACACAACTCCGAAATAGAGCTTGGTGCCCAGCATCACCCGACCATCGGCGACCATGCCCCCGTCATCAACGATCTCCTCGGTTTCAAAGTCATCAGCAGTAAAGCGGGAAATCTTGAGACTGAACTTGCCTAGCTCTTTATCATTGATGTCGATTTTGCCGATTTGGGGCTGGAAATTTCCGGTCAGTACTGAAACCTTATTCAAACAGCATTCGACTTTGATTTGTTGTTGGTATTCCCGGGTGATGATTGCGCCGTTATCACCCGCCCCTGGCTTGGCAAAGGTGATATAGTTCTGAAAGATTATGTTGTCATCATCTTCCTGCAGTGTAGATAAACAGAAAGGGACTTAAGAATAACATGATAGTGTTTTAGGGGGACAGGGAGAGGGGGGGGGGGTCGACCCAGGCTCCTTTGAGAAACCTTAATGACATACATGTACCTCTAGTACACAAGTCCAATAAATTAATGTGCCCACCATTTTTGAGAGAGCGGAGGCACAAAAAGATATCGAAAAAGAAAGATATCTAAAAAATAAAAAATAAAAAAACTTTTGTCGAAGATGGGACTCCAAGTGACCGGGAGTCACTTGGTTACCTTTCAAAAAGTATAATAAAACTAACAATTTGGCACTTTCTTTGAACTTTTGTCGAAAACAACATAGTAATCTAGCACAATGTCGTCTCTTTTTGTGTTGAAGAAGATCAACATGGCGAGTTTCAATTACACTTCGGCAGCTCTCGCAAGCTGTGGTCAGGCGGCTTAGGGATGGGCGGCTAATGAATATAATAATGGTTAGCTTTCTTCTGGCATTGAACTTGTTTTGATTGGTTGTAACTTGTTGTCGGAATAAAGGAAACCTAAACGATTGACCAAAAACCGTCAGCGTCTTAATTGATTTTTTGACCTGGAATTCCCGGATGCACGCGCACTACTTTCCCGATGAAGCCATTTTCCCGTGACCCCTGCACCCAACACTGTGTGAGAGTTAGTTTGTGGTCAATATATTTTTATGAGATAAATTCAGGCAAACGTTTCCAAATGTCATGTAAAAGAAACCATAAAACCCAAACCAGTGAATATTATTGTTCACCAAACCGTAATCTTCCACAAACCTCGGTAGTAGTGCCGCACTTTTCGTATCCTGTGGCCATCTCGATGTGGGACGGATCAGAGTCAGTGGCAAGACAGTCCTCTGCTTGGGAGCGAAAATGGACATCTGACGCGTCACTGCCATCTGGTAATAGACGTTTATCCAGAACCACAGTCATTGAGGTACTGTCACATCTAACGTATGATACTGTAGATAGCAAATATAAAACATACATACATACATTTACGGTTGACACTATCAACAACAACGACGAATAGTATTCTACTACTGCTACTACCACTACTACTACTACTACTACTACTACTACTACTACTACTAACACTACTACTACTACTACTACTACTACCACTACTACTACTACTACTACTACTACTACTTTTTCTACTACTAACTACTACTACATGTACTTCTACTACTAATTATTTTAATACTACTACTACTACAACTGCTACTACTACTTTCACTACTACTTCAAGTTGTTAATATCTGTTGTCCTGGAAACACTTTCTTAAATCAACTGAAAGACAACCTCAAATGACTTTCTCACAAGGGATGTATTCAATTTTAATAAGTATGTCTGATGTATTAAAAAAAGTGGCCCTGTTTCATGAAACTTGTGATCAACTGCCAAAGGTCTATGACAAATCTGCTCACAGCCAATCGAATGCAATTATTCCAGTAGCTTATACACCGATTCGGGCGACTTCTGGTGGAAGTGCGCCCTCATAAGGTGACGCCATAACTGGGGGGCGTCTGACTGTCAGCTGGATCGGAGAAGCCCCCCAGTTATAGCGCCGCCACCGGCGGGCAGGTACATAAAACTCCCAAACCGAATCGGTGTATACCAAGTATCGTAACTTGTGATTGATAAAAGTTTAAAGGCTAAGTCCACTCCAAAAACAAAATTGCTTTTAATAGATGCAGAAAAACAAGAGAATTAGAGCCAACAAACAATCGAGTACAATCGGATAACAAATAAGGACGTTACGATTTTTTTGTAAAGTATGAACAACTATGGAACTTAGAAAATCACTACATAAATTGCCAATTTGGTAATCAGTTTGTTACGTCGTTCCCTCATTGTTTATCAATTGCTTTATACATGTTTATCCCCCTAATTTCCCCATTTATCCCCCAAAACTTGATTTCCCCATGTCTTTGCCCAGGTTATATGATTTGTATCATTGTGCGTGCATGACATTTCACCAAATCTTTCATGAACTTTGAAAAAATTATACTATTTTCTGAATATTGTATATTCATAATCATTGATTTATATATAATTAGTTTTTCGAAATTCACATTTTCACGAGTTAGCTGAAACAAATTATTATATTTAGTGCATCCCCACAAAAAACATGTTACTATCATTATAATTTGGGTCCCGGTGTCAGGAAACATGATTTAGAGGGGGAAAATAGAAATGTATATTATCAGTATAAATAACACAATTAGTGGATAGTCAGGCAATAACGTCACAGACTCATGAGTGGTTTACCAATTCGTCTAGTGATTTTTCAAAGTTTTTCATGTCATTAAAAGCTCATAACTTTCTTATTACTAATCATATTTTGCATAAACTTTTATTGATTGGTTTGTCTCTATTGAAAGTAATTTTGTTTGGAGTGGACTTGCCTTTAATTGAAACGGGGCCGTTACGTGCATATGGATGGAATTCAAAAGACAATAATTGAGACAAATAATTTGGGACTTGACCTTTCAATGCTTTGTAAACAAGCAAAGGTATTTTGAAAGCAATTCTCTGCTTTATTGGCAACTATTGCAATTTAATTAAAACAAATGTAATCTGGGAACATTTCGACGAATTAGAATTAGATCAGAATGCATACTCACAGTCGTCTTCGCAAGTCGCGCCTCCTTTACCAATAGGGCAAGTACATCGTCCATATTCACACGTTCCTTCATTCTTACATTGATTCGGTTTGCAGAGACCTGCCGGATAAATAAAGGTCCTCGTTAGCGAGTATCCTATTTTTACCACGATTAAAGCCAGTACAAAATATGTATCCATTTTTTAGATATTGGATGGAATATTTGTTGCACATGGGCTTCTCTTACTTTCGAGTCTTTCACTAAACCACCTTAATAATGATTTTGTTTTTCTTTCTTGAGGGTACTTTAAAGCAAAATCCTTCTTAAAGTGTTGTTCGGATACGACATTTTCATTTTCTTAATCAAAACGTTAAGTGGAAGGCCGAAAGAAAGGATTAAATAATGGCCTGAAAAGACATAATGGCGCCTGAAGGTTCACGCATGAGAATAGTAAGGTGACCTCGCTGGCATGTCGGAGATTATGCCTACGAATTTTGAAAGAAATCGGGATCGAGCAAGGGACCTATATAGATAGGGCTCGCAAGCACTGTGTATAAAACCAATAAGATTTGGGTGCATGAAGAAGACGTGATGATGCGTGCTGTGGCACAAACAGTTGTCCATGCTAACACAATCATGCAGAGTATAAAATGGATGATCATTGGAGTGTGAATTTCAGTAAAGATCTGTGCTATGTTAAGGTAAAAATACCTTACAAATTTAAGACAAAATAGAATTGGTATGAGAAAGGTATGGCAATTTACGGTCTCTAGAGGTCAATTTTTTAAGGATTAAGAGATTTTTGACCGATTCGATTTCGGATTTAAGTTTCGAGTATGAAGATGGCATTTTAAAGGGCAGATTACGCATCGCAGATGAAAGAACACCTCTTGGACTATCAAGATGAATTTGATGGAAGTCTGTAGGATCTAGGATAGTGAGGGGAGATACGAAGGAAGACAGAAAGGCCTTAAAACGATCCAGAAACGGACAAAATAGCGCCTGGACGGTTACACATGAGTGATTTTAGAAACGGAAGAGTCAGGTGACCTAGATTAAATGACAAAGATTACGCCTACGAAATTTGATAGGAAATTAACTATAAGGAAGTGACCTATATACATTAGAATAACAAGCACTTCGTACAAAATGAAAAGGACTTTGGGCATAACATCAAGAAGAAGACAAAGAAGAAGAAGAATACGAATTCAGAACTCGAACAAGAACAAGACATCGACGAAAGTCGTCCATGCAAAGAATCAGAATCAGAATTCAGAACGCGAACAAGAACAAGACATTGACGAAAGTCGTCTATGCAACAAAGAAGAAGAAGAATAAGAATTCAGAACGCGAACAAGAACAAGACATTGACGATATTAGTCGTCAATGCAATATCAATGATGATAATAATTATAGTAGTATGGGGTGATAACTGACCACTTTGCACTGTCACCGAAAATACGCAAACATCTGTATTTCCTGCCGCATCATTAGCATGATAGGCCAGATCGGTTTTGCCGAAAGAGAAATTGCCTCCATTAGTTCCTGATCCTTGAAAGATCATTGTGGGACAGCTGGACCAACTGTTGTTGAGTACGGGCTCGGTCCATGAGACCGATGGCGCATTCGAAGCGTTTTCGTCGATGTTGACAACGATGTTGTCAGGGCAACCATGGATGACAACGGGTTCATCGTATGTAGCTGTTTAATACAAAAAACATGGCTTTAATATCAATTCTCGAATCTAATCAATAATTAGATATATAAGTATATAATATATAATTATATTTGTATACTAAAATTTGTGTTGTTTGTATATCAAGAGAAAAATGGTTATATATATTATATATATATATGTGTTTGAGCAGCGTGCATTTTACGCTGAACGCTGCATGCAAAAGGAGAGAGATCGCAAATATCCATAACCTTGAAATGCAAACATTGACTGCACATAGCTGTTGACAAAATAATTAATTTACTCCCTTTATAAACAGATTGGACACATCTATAAAAAAAAATGAATAATTTGATCTATATATTGAGAAAAAATTAATTAGTATCTAAATGTAAAACATATAACTTGAATACTAGGCTTATTCTAGTAATCAGGAAATCATATTCTTTGGAAAAAAACTTGTTAATTTGTCTCATAAAAAGGTATTTATTGGTAAGTAGTGATTTACACGTTTTTACCCTGGTTTGTCATATGTGGACAAAATGAAGTATCCTTAAAAAGGGAGCCCCCAAGTTTACGCGTGAATTACTCAATAATCCCACGTTATATTTAGGTAAATGTTTACATGATTGGCATATTTCATATTCATCAGATGACATCAAAAACCTGAGCAATAAGTCACGTATTATCAATTTTATGCAGCATGACGTGACAGTGTCAGAAACCCATCGTCCAAAATAAGTGGATGGCTGCTACGTTAGGCTCATTTTGGTTTTGAAAACATATGAAATGATTTTGAACAAACGATTGCTTAAAATACCATCATTTCAAAGCTCTCGTCTTGTACTTGCATATGAAATCATATGATGATGATGGAAGGATCACACATAACTAAGCAGGCATCACCATTTTGAACTGATCATAGGCACATTGACACGTTCTTGTAAGAAGTGATTTAGGCAACTGAACAAATGTCAATGTGCATTACCAATGACAAATTGTGCCTTCTTATTATGAATGATCCTTTCATCATACTCATGGTATCATACCAGACTAGAACTATGAGCTTTTGAATTATGTGTATTTGAAGAAAAAATTATCGTCTCCAGAATTGTACTTTCAAATATCATAGTGAACTAAATAAATCAGCTATTCGCCTTTTTTTTTACAATTTGATTTCCGACACCGCCTCTATATAGTTTAGTCTGAAATAGGTCATGCGTGATTCATTGATCACATTTTTGGTGTAATATGAAAGAAGAAAAGTCAAGCTTTTTAATTATGTATTCAGTAATAAAAAAGTAATTTGGAATCATTGAGTAATTTACCATTAAACTTTACTCTCTTTTTTTTAGGGATATCCTGTATAATAGTTATCCGATTTCACTATTTAAACATAAATCTGTCTGCTTTTTATGTATTTATTGAGACCAGGTAATACGCGTCTTCGCGTTCAAGTACGCCACTGCCGGTGTCACAAGCGAGACTCCTGAAATAGCCTAAACCCTAACCCTAACACTAACCCTACCCCTAACCCCATCCCTGAAACTAACCGTATCTGATGCACACTGTATTGTAAGATAATGGATGCAAATTATAGCTAAATTCCGCTGGGCTATTTTTTCTTTACAGAAACAACTGATTAATTAATGCCTCCTGGCTGCGAATAGATTTGACATTGTGCACATTCAGATGTGTTCTCAATAAACAGACTCACTTGAGAACATATCTTTTTTTCAACATGTTATCTTTCGTGTGTTTCTTTAAAATAACATAGATAAAGATGAAATAACAAATTGATTTGCAAAACACGAGAGTTATAATTATGGCTCTCAAAAATTGTGTCGTTTGTATATTCATGTTTTATCAAGAGATCTGACTCGGCCTGAGACAAGGGCGTCTTACTGTTTGATATGATCCGAATCGTCGAAGGGTCGATGAGAAGCTCGCTGCCGCCCTTCAATGTTACCGTCCTGCCGTGAACCGTGCGCGTGGATAACTTCATATCATACACGACGATCACGTGATAAATGCCTTCTCGACCGTCTATAAATTCCCACTCTCTCCAGAACAGCCTGCTGCCGTACTTGCTGAGAGAAAAAGTCTGCTGATGGTTGTAAAATATGGTTCTATCCCCACTCCCGTCTAAATTTGTGACGCCTAATATACTCGGCCTCTTAAAGTAAAACAAGCGGGCTGGTATAAGAAATAGCGAGAAAAAAATATTATAAATGTAGGCTACACACAATTTGTGAATAAGACTATTAATCTTGTTTGTATTCAACGGTTCTTTTTGGCATTTTTGACCGAGATAAAAGACTAAAAATTACACACCCCTCCAAATGAAATATATATATAATCATAGACATAATTATGCCATAGACATGGCAAATGGTTTGTAGTAAATAATTGCCATGCTCATATAGGGTAGGTGTGGGAATTGGAGACCCTTAAGCACATTTGCATAATTTACATAAACATGGAAAATGTTACACATACAGAAAGGTTTGTATTCTCTTCGGTATCTATTCTCTTTATTTGGTAACAAAATTGTGGTTATTATGTAACTGATTAATGAGATAACAATGATTAATGACGTCATCATTACCTACATGTATAGGTAATAAGGGACAGTTACAAATCAAGACATTTTAAATACAACTTGAATGAAAATGGGATTGTTATAGTAAGTTCAAACACTTTTTGAAAGAGATACATGCAGCCAATGAACTTACTGTAATTTTGAACCGATTTTAAAACAATGTGACCTAAAATATTTCCATACATGGGCAATTAAAGGTAATACACAGTTTTGGGAAATTTTGACAATTGGGTGGATAGTGGCTCTTCACAATTTTGATATATTTGGATGCCCATGTGGATGTATTATAAGTACTGGAAAATTTAGCCCCTAATGACTTCTGCTTTTGAGAAAAATGGAATATAAAAATTTACCGGTGCTCCTGGTAAATTTTGATAAATTTCACATAGCGCCTACGGCCGTACAATGGTAGCTGCGACCATGAAAATCTCAGAATATGTAGTTGTGATATATAATTTCCAAACGGGAATAGCTAATCGGTAGATTTTAGTCAAGAAACATTGTTTTATAGCTCAATTAATATCTTGACTTTGAGGGGTAGCTTTACAACATAAAGAGTTTATTATTTACAGTTTCATAACTTTAGACTCGATTTCAACCGCGACAACGATCACTGAATATTGTAGGATCGCATACTTTTGCTTCCAAAATGTGCATTTGAACCAAATTCACGACCCTATACCAAAACTGTGTAATACCTTTAACCAACCAGCATCGGGTCATTGACTGTCCTCGGCATACTCGACATTCACAACGAACGACCCCCATCTTGGACATGGTGTCCCCCATTGCATACACACATTTCTGATCAGACACCATTCATAATGTGCATTGCAACACCCATTCATAACACACAACGGCCATAAGTTTTCTGTGATGGTTGGCACACTTCATAAACTTCCTTTTAAAACTACTATTAAAAAGCCACCTCTAAACTTTGTATCTTCATACACCACAACATTCAAGTGAAAATTGTGTTTTTATATCAGAGCAACATTTTACGATCAAAATTGCTTCCCTTGGTCAATTTTGCCAATCTACTCGGAGAAAGAACGCATTGTAGTCTTCGAAATGAATTGTATATATGCAGTAGTGTTGTTGAAGGCCTCATATGGCGCTATAGCAATATTTGAGCCAACACGGACAGACAGTGATGAGTACAAGCTTGGTGGTCTCCAATTCCCTTCACCTACCCTACTCTATAAAAGTGTACTCAATTTATTTAGAATAAAGGGGACATTCATGTTTATGAGGTAAACTATTTATATAATATGGACTGGCCTTGAGGGAGATATCACATATATTTCCTAAACTAGACTCATATTGCCCCGAGTCAAAGACGAGGGCAATATGGGTATTGTGAGGGCAATATATGTATCTCCCGAAAGTTAAGCCAGTCAATATTGTTATTGTTATCCAAATCAGACATCTAGAGCAAATACATATATCAACCATGACAATCTCATAGAACTGAGAAATGTTTGTCAAACCAGCACTGTGCATCCAGAGCTTGACGAAATGTTCTATACACTGCGAACAGTGTACCTAATTTGGTGTGATTATTACGTCACAGTAGAGTGCGCGTAAAGTTTTTGTTTCGATTTTTTTTCCCCAATTTTTTTTTTTTTCCTAGAATTATCTCGGAAAATTATTTTTCAGTCAATTTGTTTTTTGGCACTTCTTTATCTAAAATGTTGATTGTCCCCGAAATAAAATTGAACAAATTCAGTGGGGCAAAAAAAAATATGGACCCCCTCCCCCCCCCCCCCCCCAAAAAAAAATAAAAAAATAAAAGAATTAAAAAAAATAATTAAAAAAAAATCAATCAAAATCAAAATCAAACCAAGGCTATCTAATATAGCAGTTACTGACTGGCAGGGGGTATACAACATTCTTTGGACCTGAAGGGAGTTATATTTTCTCTTGTGACCATATTTTCCCTCAGCGCTGCGCGCTTTGGAAAAATATAACCACTTGGGAAATATAACTCCCTTCAGCAGTCCAAACAATGTTATATTACACCCCCTGTCAGTCAATAACTGTATAATATTAAATTTCCTATATCGATACTGATGTGTGATTGTGAAACGGGCATTATGTGAAACACAATAATAATGAAGTATGTATCTCACTTGTTTCATCAGCACATTCCTCAGTGACCATGGTATGAGCATAAAAGCTTCTCACAACCTTAAGGTTAGTGCCGTTTAGTGTTGTCTTGACAATTTCATTGACGAAGCGTGTTGACCAGACAAGATACCTTTCAAGTAAAATAATCATAACTTCGAAATTAGAGGTGTTGCGGTCTGGATTAACTGATACCTGGTTCGAATCATGTAATGATACTAATATTCCTTGGTAAGGCATTGACCTTTACTTTCCGCCCTTACTCCGGTGGGTTAAGAGGGTCCAGGAAGGAAGAAAGGGAAGGAATCCCTTGGATTCTTATTCTTAACTTGCAGTGGCAGATTAGCTAAAGTCCGCATATCTTAAATACGATACTCACGAAATCGCAGTAGAGTTATTTTTAAAGAAGCTATGCTAAATAAATGAACATACTGTTGATTACAGTGAGCTTGTCTTTCATTCGAACCAGTTGATTCATCCAACCACTTAAGAATGGTATTTAGAGAAAATCGGCTGCAATTCGCAATGTGAACGATAAGGAGATTATGTAAAACTTCACTAATATTAACATGAAACTTAGGCTCTTATCTACACTACAATTCGTATAGTAGCCAAGGTTTTATTCTTTAATGTGTACTTTCTGAAGCCAAGTGCTTTTTCAAACATGCCGAATCTTGCTGTTTGCTGCCTCAAGATCATCAAAACGAAGATATGTCAACGTGGATAATGAGAGGTGAAGGATTGGCATCTACTGGGCCCCGTAACACAAAGGTATGTAACCACTTACAAATTTGAAACAACGATTCTGATGGGTTTGAACAATATGCGTATTAAACGATGATTTTGTTTGGCCATTGCCATCCTATAATAATGAGAATAATACTTTTGTTTATCCAGGGAAGCCTCACCAGATTAATGTCTTGCCGAAAGACGCTAGTTCCTGGATTGGATTCGAACCCCCAACTCTCGGTTCGATAGTCAAGTGAATGAATCACTATATGCTTCGCACTTCCATTTTGCAATTGATTCCTACTTTTTGTGTTATGGGGCCCAGATTATCCCCAACCAATGAACATTTCTGTCTTAACTTAACTAATATTTACCCCTTGACGGGGTCCAACAACATTCTAACAGCTTGACGAGGTTTCGAATTGCTCGGATAAGCATATATTTCCTCTACCAAACTACCGTTGAGATTGGCACGTGAGATAGACGCAATATAATAATTCGACCAGTAGATCTTCCCGTTCACCAGATCGAGGGCGATAGAAGAAGGACCTGAAAATGAATTTAACAATAGATACGTACATTTATAAGGATGCTAGTAATAATAATAATGATAATAATAACAATATTTAACATCGCTACTATGTAATTGCCAATGAAACGTTGCGGTTTATCAGGAGGCATTTTTACTTCTTGTTAACACGTTGTATCGTATTTGCATCTGGTTTATATGCGCCAACTTTAAATTTCAAATTAACAATGACACAAAGTATCCGCAAAGTATATTGCGTAATTACCTTACTATGATATATGATAACAAGATAATGACAATTCATTGAAAAATGAAGGGAAAGTTGCTCTTGCAAAGTAAGCCTATTCGCTCACCGTCCGTAGATACAATGACATCTCGGTTCGTGCCGTCAAGTTGGATTCGACTTATCTTATCCCTCCTGAATTCATTCCAGTACACCATTTCATTCCCGGGATCATAGTCAATTCCGTGTATTTTAGTATTGTCTGGGAGACGTATCAGGGTATAGTGGGTGTCCATGAAGTTGGTATCATCTCGTGGTTCCGGCAGGGAAGCGTAGAGGATTCCAGGGGTAATTTCATCACCAATAAATATCAGAGCAGTATCTGTATAACAAGACGAGTGTGAAGTATAAACAAAGATAGGAAGTTAAACATGGGAGCCAGGATTGCATTGCTTAATAAAAAGCTTATTAAAAAGGCGTGAATATTAAAGCGACATGGCAACATGGTTCAGATGAGAGAAAATGGTGCTAAGGTAGTGACTTCAATGCTGGATGTACAATAAAAGATAATCTGAAAGTTTGAGTGAAGTGTTTGATCTGATCAATTCCTTAATTCTCCCAACCATATTATTACAATTTGATTACATTTTAGGTGAATGTAAATCGTCACAAAGCAATGCATTTGCAATATATACAGACATTTAAGTATTGAAAGACTTTAAAAATCCTGTCTTATGTCTTTTTTTGTTCATGGAAAAACGGTTGGGAAAATTCAAAAATGGTCGGGGGAATTTAATGTTAGAAGGTGTTACACAGTAATGCCTTCAAAGAAAACCATAAATATCTTAGTGGTTTGAGGAAAAAAAATCAGGATTTTTTTGCATGTTAGAGGGTTAGTACAGTATAAGGAATATGATAAGTAACATTTCATACACAAATTACGTATTTTGTTCATCAACCTTCAACAATGCTACCGAGTCCCTTTAAAGCCTTTCTTTCTTTCTTTTCTGAAGTAGGTCACCCTTGCAAATAATCGAGCGAGTTAGTTCAACCTCACCTGGTAACATTAAACCCAGACGTTGTGTGTCCGGACAGGTTGTGTAACCGGACAGTTGATTTAAAACAGCAATTTGAAGAAGTATACATGCCATATTTCATAAATCATTTAAGGCTTATGTTGTACTAAGCTATAAAGGACAAATATCAATGATGCTTTATAGAGCTATTTGGTGAATATTTCTCGTTGAATTCGAAGGCAAAAGAGAGGGCTTTTTGTTTGTTAAGTGTCCGGACACCCCCCCCCCCCCCCCCCCCCATCGTAGTGACACGAACTGACTTGATGATTAAATAAATAAAAAAATGCTACTTATTCTAATACTAATTCTACTATGAAGAAGAACAACAGCAATAATAACAACAACAGCAACAGCAACAACAAGAAAGAGTAATATCTAGCGTAAACAGCAACTGAAAATTAGTTTTTACAAGAAACTGGTTACACTATCCAAACGTTACTACAACAGTAGAGTTACCTTTGTCTTTCTGTTTACTGAATGAAAGTACGTCATTTTAATGACGTAACAATATATCGATGATAACATTTTTAATCAAGACTCATTCACATTTGCAACGGGAAAAACAGCTGCGCGCAACAAGGTACAAAAACATCATAAAGCAGAACACTATCATATAAGTAAAGAAAACCATAAGCGATGTCAGACACAATTTTCCCAATCCATCTTGAATTACTTAGATGAAAGATAAATAATTCACTTACGTCGGTGACAGTCAGGTAACAGACATAAATTTCCTACGAAAATCCCTTTGAATTTCTCGATAAGGGAGATTATATTTGTGGTCGTTGCAGGATTTCGCGGGATTTTTCGCGAGATAATTGATGACAGACAGCGAATTATCGAGCTGGCTATTCTCTAGATAGTTATTTTCTAGATAATTGGCTTCTGTCTGACACCGCCCATTATGGGGAACCTTGGTATAGCATATATTGCCGGGTTGGGATTTGAACCATCATGGCCCGGAGTGAGATGCAATCAAACGAACCATTTAACGACGACACCTCACACGAATAGGCTGAATATGCAAAATAGGGGAAAATACATTTCATTAATAGCCTCCAAGCATTAAAAACAATCACAGTATTAAACTACAATCGTATCAGAGCGATGTGCATGCATAACTGCAATCGTTTCAGAGCGATGTTGATACCCGTATTTTTACGTGACAGAAGAAAGAGCCTCTCTCGGAATAGCCAGTGTAATTTGATAAAGAAGTTGATCTATAGAATATAGGAAAGTAAAGATAGGTAGGCCGACAGAAAGGCTTTAAAAATGGCATGAAAAGACAAAATGGCGCCTGGACGGTCACGCATAAGAGATTTCGGCGAACGATGAGTCAGGTGACCCCGATTGGATGACTTTTAAATCGGACAAGAGAAAGGGACCAAGATTGGAATAACATGCACTGCGTGCTAAACGAATGGGATGTTGGAGTAAGATCAAGAAAAAAAAAGACGACAAAGTAGAAAAAGAAGAATTCAGAACGCGAACAAGGCATTGACAAGAAGTCGTCAGTGCAATAAGACTGCAAAACGCAAACGGAAACAAGACATTGACGATATGTCGTAAGGCAATGTAATTACCGGGATTCGAAGCCACTAATACTGACCTTACCGATTGAGCCAACGACGGGTTGATGATAAGATCTAGGATACTTGGTCAAGGTTTTAAAAAAAGACGCAGTCCGCTTATTGAGAGGGCTTGATATTCTGTCTAGAAAATGATATTGAGCTCATTGCTCATTGTATAAATATATTATAAAAAAGTGAAATCAATTTTATCTTTGAGCATGTTTAAAGGTAATAAAAAGTTTTGGTACGGGGTCATGAATTTGGTTCAAATGAACATATTGGAAGCATATGCGATCCTACAATATTCAGTAATCGTTGTCTCAGTTGAAATTGAGTCTCAAGTTATGAAATTATAATTGGCGTTCAACAATAAGGGATAGAGCAACGTCGATCTGGCGCTGCTCAGTGGCTGCCGGGCTCACGATCAATTGGGCAAAAAGAATTTCCGTTTCGGTTTAATAAAATTTGGAGTGGACTATTAGGTTATTATTATAATTATTATTAATAATAAACTTTTTATGTTGTATAGCTTCCTCTCCAGGGTCAAGATATTAATTAAGCTCTAAAACAATGTTTCTTGACTAAAATCGACCGATTAGCTATTTCCGTTTGAAAATCAAATATCACGACTACAATTTATTCTGAGATTTTCATGGTCGCAGCTACCATTGTACGGCCGAAGGCGCTATTTAAAATTTGACAAAATTCACCGGGAGCACCGTTAAATTGTTATTTTCAATTTTTCTCGAAAGCAGAAGTGTTTAGTAGCTAAATGTTTTAGTGCTTATCATACATCTACAGGGGCATCCAAATATATCAAAATTGTAAAGAATCACTATCCACCCAATTTTCAAAATTTCCCAAAACTTTGTATTACCTTTAATCTTGTTCTTGGAATATCGACACAAACTTGAAGACATGTTCAACATTAAATCATTATTCGTTTATCATTAGGCCTTGATACAGACTACGCCGGGTGCATATTATGTACCCTCCATCTTCAAGCACCCGTAATGGGGCTTTCACATATACACTCCGGGGCCTGGACGTCGAGTAAAAACAGACATTTGGGGGAATTTTTGGCCGGTGTCTTGGAGGCTGCCGTAAAGCTCCTACGGGCACCGGGACAGTTATTTAAGCCGTGTGGGGGACGTGGTGCTGAGTTGCCTGCTCCCAATTCTCCCGGCGTTTTTATCTGCCCGTTAGGCCGTAGAAAGCCCGTAAAGGGTCCATAGGGCACCTTACGGGTCCCGTGCGGGCTCCGGACGGTGCCCGGACGATCCCCTCACGATTTGTATTTGGTCAATTCTCATGAAAAATCTTTACGGGCGCCTTACGGTGTTCAAGGGTGCCGTACGTGTACCCTACGGCTTCATCACGGGCCCCACAAGAGCCCCGGGTGATACGCACAACACCGGGCGTATGCCGTTATCATACAAGAGGGTCCGGGCTCAATACTCGCTTCGGTGCTTCCATCCCTTGACAAGGTGTTTTGCCTAACTTATTTTGCCCTCCTCTACCTGTTTTAATTAGTTAGGCCTACATGGTTATGATGGTGTCATGACATTTGTAGGGCCCGACATAAGAGCGCTATTAATACTGATGTGGCTACCCTGGGTATTTAAGACTAGAATATCAATAGCATTATAATTATAACTTTACTTTTAAAGATGAAATAAAAAAATAAAAAACATTTTAAAAATTACCCGAATTTTGTGCCAGAGTACCAGAGACCCAGAGGACCAGGAGAAGGATCTTTACCACCCCGAGACGGTGGGGCGTAAACCAAAGAAGAACAGGCGATGACATCCTGATCATAATCGGTGTTCGATCACGCAGTTGTATGTCTGCAACCACCTGTATACAGAACAATTATCGACTGAATGAATATTATACTCAACCAAAAAGTTATGTTCCCCGGACAACTTTTGATATAAATCGGGGAAAATTGGATGAAACTTGTTTATAAACATACAGTATTTTATTTACATTTTGACTGCCTATAAGTATTTGTGACGAAATTCATCATAAAATCTTGATCTTTATGGCAGAAAAAAGGATTTGCTTCTAATAGCGTAATGCATGATTTACGAGCAGTTTCAAAAATCCGAATTAGAGTTATGCACCTGTACTTGAACTAAACAAACGAAGTGTCTGTACACGTACAGCGTGACACGTACATTACGAAACACAAAATCCAACAAGTACCGACTGCGATAACAAGCAGAATTTCATCGACATAATCAGTAGTTTACACATCACAAATCAAAATCTGGCTACGAAACTTTTGCACACTTTGGATATATTTTATTTATGTTATTGTATTGAAATATATTTATTCAGGATAACTAGAATCAGATATACATTGTAGATACAAAATCTATTTTACATCATGGTCCTGAACAGGATAAAAATGTAGTACACGGAAATATAAATAATGAATATAACCAAAGCTCACAAGCAAAGGTATTAAGAACAGTATAAAACTAACATATACAAATAATACGCATTATAAGTAGTAAAAAGCACAAAACAAAAAACAAAAACGACAATGTAATAATTGAAATAAACAGCGGAAAAAACATCAAATCACTTTAATAAAATAAATTAAAATATCACCAATAAATATCAAGGAACTTACTTGTTTGGTTGAGCTCAGACTAGTAGTACAACAAAGCGACTTCAGTTGGTGGCTACCTTATTCGATATGACAACACACAATTGCAACTCTTGATACTGGGACTGAAAATTGATATTGCGATGTTTTTCTGTTTATCCCTTGAAACAGGCCAAAATTATCAATAATTCCACACAAACATAATTTATTGTTAATACAACAATATTAAGAGAACGCTCCATCTGTTGGTTATTGAACTTTTAGTTCGTATTACTAAACAATTAAATCGCACCGTACTGTCTGGGTACGATAGAAATGTCCTTCATGATGAAAAGGCTTCTAATCGAAAGAGACACCTTCCGGTCTATTGTAAGTAAAAACGGCAACAATTTGCAGGAAAATCAGGTACACCACTTTCCCACGCCACAGGAGTCTGACGTTTGTTACAGACAATATAATTGTTTATACTGATGCATAGTTTTGTCATCATAAAGTTTATGTCCAACCTAGTCTTGATGCTGATTAAAACAATTGAAATGCAAATCCTTGAAACTAACTTGTTTGCTACGTCCGCGGTTTCATAAAATAAGATGGTTTTGAATTTTGCAGAAATCTAAGGTCGGAAGAATATTTTGAAAGAAAGAAAGAATATCGAAGACGAAACAGAAATCCAACCCCAGGGAAATACATTGATTTCCTAGATACTTTTAGTTGCTGTCATCCCTTTTCGGGATTAATTGCGAATCGAACAAGAGTCACTGGCTAAGAACGCCAATGTCTTGACCACTGGACCAAGGACTCGGAGACGGGCCTGAATATAACAGGAATAAATACATATTTCAAAATTATAAATGTGAGATATAATTACGGCAACACTTAGTACAGTAAAAATGAACACTTCAAATTAACACTTTACCGGCACAATCTTATATATAAAGTAGATATGATCGACATGATTGATATTACATAACATAATATCATCAGGATAAAAATATGATATCTTTATGTTATTGCATTCATGTGATATCACCTGACTTAACATTGCACGAAATGATAACAAATATTTATTATAAGATACGATATCATGTGATGCAAAATTGCTAAGTTAATGTTTTATATGAAAAGATATGATATGAATATGATATAATTATTATTATGATATGATATCATATGAAAAGATACGATGTGATATAGTAATGATGTGACAAGGTATGATTATGATAACAACAATATGATATTACTATGAGAGTTATACGATATGGATAGATTATGATATCATATCATATTAAATATATATACTATGATATCAAGTATATATGATGTAGTTTATAGATATGATAATTATGATAAGAAATGACATGATATAGATTGTTGATCAAGTTAGCTCAATCGGTAACATTTTAGTTTTTAAAACGAGAAAAGGTCGAATTCTCGCCGGTTTTTAAAAATATAAATTGTGTGTTATACTGTGTTCGTTATTTTATTTTCTGGTATGCGTATCAGCTTGGGGAAAAAGAGAAAAAAAGAAAATTAAAAAAAGGGGGAGATGATGATGATAATGATGATGATGATGATGATGAAGGTGATGGTAGTGATGATAATGATAATGATAATTTACACTTGTTATATGGCGACATATTTCTGAGTAATATTTCTGATCCAATGAAGAGAGTATTTTTCGCACTTGCCGAAATAGATATTTTTGAGGCATTATTTGACATGTTCTAGATTGTAGTCTCAAGAAGCCAGAAAGGTATTTAGTCCCACAAAGGCTGAGGAATGGAAGAAAAGTCACAGTCCCCATATCATCCCTCCATGCGTGGTGTGGGTACATGGGGAGTGAGCCCAGAATGAGCGCAACCCAGGGCAAAGAAGAGATGGAAAAGAAAGACCTCCAAACTCTCTAAACCCCTCTCGCATCATTTTACATTATGTAAATAGAACCAAAGACGTCATTACTACCTATATTCTATCGGCTGTACCAAACTTATATGCAAATGAAGATTGCGCCCTTCCGCACCTCATGAATGCTTTTATTTGACAAAGTTGTAAAATACGTAAATGAGGATAAAGCTTTTTCCTGTTTGCTGCCTACTTGTATTACACACAGCTGAAAATATATGATAGTGGGTTTTTTATCATTGCCTCTTATATGGATGTTAATATTCAAAATAGAACCAATACAGATTTCTGGAGCGCACTTTTTTACTCTACTAACATCACGAAAAGCGCTACCAAATATGGAGATGAATGTTATGCTTATTCCTCTTCGTTGCCTGTTTTTATTGGATAAAGCTGTCGAATATTAAATTTGTGCAACACCTTTGTCTATTTCGATGCGTGCTTTTTTCGATATAGCTGGAAATGATGGTGTATGTGTTACGCCCTTTCCTAGTATACTTATGCTATTGGCTGCACCTGTCCAACTGGAAACACAGTGGTTACGCCCCCCCCCCCCCCCCAGTATGAACTCATTTGCATACAGCCAATCATCTCATCTTGTCAATAAGAAGCTTTACGATCGATAACGAGGGATGCAAAGCTCTTTACACATAGACAGCGCCTTGTCTATGTCAGCATGGTGTGCGTGCATAGTCATATGGCATAGACTTGCCAATGCTTGTTACAAGTTTCAAGTTTATTTATCTTTCTTTCATAACACATATTACAAATATGACATGAATATAAAGGAGTGAACAGAATATGGCGTTACAATAGAAAGATGAGGCGACCTTGGTTGAAAGCAAGGCTTGTGGAATTAAGGTCCCTCATGAGTAGTTTATGAGTATGTCCTAAAAGAACAAACTCATCAGATAAGAATAATGCGTACATTTAAATGCTTACAAAATAAACTAACTAAACAACTGAGAAAATATTAAACATAAATAAGTACAATAAAATCTACTGACTACTAAATAATGGCTATAAACAACAGGGATATACTATGAGCAACAGGACTGAAACACAGACAAAAACTAAACATGACAGACAGATGAATAGATGTGAGAAACGGGAGTAGAATTATGCTGACCTATATAGCAAATAATTTTCTTAAATATTGATCACAACTATAAATCTAGACGATATCGACTCAAATACATTAACTTCAGTTTGCGCTTAAATACATAAATACTGACCGATTGCGCTATTCTTGGTTCAAGGGAATTCCCAAACCTAGGTCCAGTGGACCCCAGAGTAGTAAGGGCGAATTGCGTTCTGATATAGGACGATAATTATTCAAGATAAGGGCATCACCCTTTTTAAAAATGGGCACAACATTTGCAATCTTCATTTTCATGGGTACAACACCAGTGGTCATTGATAGATTAAATATATGTACGAGGGGTTGTACAATACCAATAATTACATTTGTTATCAACTCATTTGTTATATAGTCACAACCTGGAATTTTCTTATTCTTTAAAGAATGTACAATATCAAATAATTCGTCGCTGTTTTCACGAAGTGACGGTAGTGAAAAAAAATTGCATTCACTTTGCGTTACGATTTTCCTCACTACCGTCACTTCGTGAAAACAAGGACGAATTCTGCTACAGTCGTTGGCAATAAAAATAAACTATTATGATTAGGTTTTCTAAAAAAAGATTGAAATATTTTTTGAGAATCTGGAATGACACGCGACAAATTCTGGCCAATATTCCAAAAATATTCATTGAATTTATCTACAATAACTTCTGGATCATCAACTACATTCCCATCATTTTTTAATTGACTTACATCAGACGCTTTCTGCTTTGGCTTAAAAACATTCCTAATCACTTTCCATGTCCCTTTTATATCATTATGTGTCGCCTGAAACTGAGCACAATAATACTGCTTCTTAGCAGCACGTATAATTGAAGTAAGAGTATTCCGATAAATAGTATATTTCCTATGAGAAGACTGAGATTTACTTATCTTATACTTATAGTACAACTTATTTTTCCTGTTTATTGACCTCAATATAGAATTAGTAATCCATGGCAATCGAGGGGTTGTTCTACGATTTCTACTATTACATTTACGTAAACGTAATTTTTATCATACAGCAAAAAGAATGTATTTAAGAATTTATCATATGAGCTATCAACATCATAATCACGTAATACTTCTCTCCAATCACTTGCTATTAAACAACTCATCTCTAAATTTAGCAATACTGGTAGAATTCCTATTTCGAACATATCTATTA